TAATTACATTTTAGTGACCTCTTTTGAAGTGCTTTTCAAAACTGCCTAAGGAGCTCCATCTACTTTGCAAGTATACAGGCAAATGGTTAAAGAAGTAGGTCACATTTTTGAAGTCTACTTATCCTGACAGTTTGTCTTTAAAGTGCAGTATTCGCACACTGTTTACACAGTTTCTGATGGGAAGCACAGATCTTAGGTCCTGCTATGGATACTCTTGAATTCCTGACAACACCTCCTACAAACTATGAACTGTTGTATATATTTTGCATCAATAATGGCACATGTGTTCTTGGCCTAAACAGAACATTGTTTCAGAATATTCTAAACTGACAGTCTCCTTATTAACATGTTAATTTGAAATAATACCTTGTTCGACAAATATAATATCAAGTTTATCAAGACCTGTTCTTGTAGCTAAGTTGGAATATTTATAGTAGATATTAAAGTCTCCATAAGAAGGAGAAAGGAGAAGGAGAAAAAAGAAGAAGAAATATGCTGGCTAATAATTAATAATGTTAGCTTACCATATTCCGATTGAGGGTTCTGGACTAGTTAGTCTATCTCAGTCCCATCTATCTCACAGGGTTACTTGTGCGAAAGTAGAAGGAGGAAGGAGTATTATGTAAGTTCACCATTTTGAATTCCTTATAAAGTAATAAAGGCGGAATACAAAAAAAATTAATCAATAAAAATCCCATAGATAAATTGCATACTGCATTTGAAGAGAAATTTAGATGTTATTGTAATCAGAAAGCACTAATAACTTTAGTGGCTTCTAACTACATTAGGCAGTATTAACTACATGGTAGGAAGAACAGTAGTTCAGCATTTATACAGGAGTTCTACTCCTGGCATCTTTACTTTTTCTTTCCTGAAGGAAGTCTGAAATATTTGGGATATGAGTCCATTTCATAAAATCTGATTGTTAAAGAATCTCTATAGTGATATAATATAAATGTTAGCACGTCTGCAACAATTTAGGTTTTTTTTTGTTTATACAAACAAATTTACAAAAAAAATCACATGCTTATGTAGAAAAGTATTTTATGCAGCATATCTGGAATAGAAAATGAGCAAGCATAGAAAAAGTAAAAGAGAAAGAACTGCAGCAGTATATAAAACAATTTAATTACAAGTTTTATTAACTTTTAAACATTTTGGGGTGAATTGTAGTTGTAACTTGAGGACTACCTGTAGTTGGAAATGACTGAACAGGGGAAACCTTTACCTTTAATATTGCTAAATGCATTCAAGAGCAGCATTACTTATTTTTGACTTAGCCCTGATTTTGAAATCCATTTTGTGATTTTCTACCACCTGGGATATAATTTGCATAACCAACTTTTTAAAAATTAAATTGCAGTTAAAGGGTTTACATACCACACTAAGCCATTAACCCCTACTTACAGATCATTGTGGGTGGGCTCACCTGAGCCTTCAGCAGCAAATCAGCCTTCTTACAATTTAGCACAGCAAACTGGGCTGAACCTGTTTTTGAAAAGTGTTTTTTTCCCCCCTATAGTTAGTCCTCACTTGGTGACCAGAATTGGGACCAGCAACTGCATTGTTAACCATCACGGTTGCCATGTAGAAAATCATCTGACTGCAACAAACTTACAACAAACTTTCTATTTGGTTATTAAATGAATCATTTAATTGTTGTTTAGTGCAGCAGTTGCACTAAACAATTTTACTTCTGCATTCTCCATTAATTGCTTTTTGGGAGCTGATTGTAAAGCACACGAACAGTGATCTCATGCTGCAGGATGCTATGCTGGTCATAAATGCAAGGATTGGTCACAAAGCTGTTTTTTTTTTACAACTTTGTAACTACAAATGGTTGCTAAATGAACAGTTGCTAAATGGGGGAATGCGTAAGTGAGAATACAGAATATTATCACTTACAGAATAACAGATGGAAGGGATCTTGGAGGTCTTCTAGTCCAATTCCCTGCTCAAGCAACAGACCCTATGCAATTTCAGACAAATATCTGTTTAATTTCTTCTTAAATACCTCCAGTGATAGAGCACCCACAACTTCTAGAGGCAAGCCATTCTACTGGTCAATTGTTCTCATTGTCAGGAAGCCTCTCCTTAGTTCTAGGTTGGATCTCTCCTTAGTGAGTTTCCATCCGTTAGTTCTTGTCCTGCTCACAGGTGCTTTGGAGAGTAGATTGACTCCATCATCTCTGTGACAGCCCCTCAAATATTGACTGCTATCATGTCATCCCTAATCTCTCTTTATTAGACTAAACATACCCAGTTCCTGTAACCATTCATCATATGTTTTAGCCTTCAGCCCTCTTTGTTGCTCTTCTCTGCACCCTTTCTAGAGTCTCAACCTCATTATGGTGACCAAAATTGTTGCAGTATTCCAAGTGAGGTTTTACCAAAGCAGTACCTAAAGTGGCACTAACACTTCATGTGTCCATATTATCCCTTGTTGATGTAGCCTAGGACTGTGTTGATATTTTTGGCAGCTGCAGCACACTGCTAGCTCATATTTAAGTAGTGATCTATTAGGACTCCTAGAACCTTGAGGTATCCCACTGCATACTTTACATCTGGTGGTGATGCTGTCTATCCTGCATTTTTCTATTTTATCAAGAAGTAAGTTGATAAGTGGTCTTGTTTGTCAAGTGCCTTATTGAAGTCTAAGTGTACTATGTGCACAGTATTTCACTGATCCACTAATTTAGTCATTTTGTCAAAGAATGCAATAAGATTTATCTGACATCTGTTTTTGATAAACCCATGTTGGCTTCTAGTAATAGTTTTGCTTGTTTCTAGGTATTCACAGATTTGTTGCTTGATTATTATTTCCAGGATCTTCCCAGGTCTTGATGTCAGGCTGATTGGTCTTTAGTTTCCTGGATCAATTCCCCCCCCCCCCTTTTTGAAGTTGGGAAACCATATCAACTCTTTTCCAGTCTAGTGATAGTTCCCCCGTTCTCCAGGATCTTTGAAAGATATGGTTCAGTGGTTCTGAGAACATGTCTGTCGGCTCTTTCAGAATTCTGGGATAGAATCCATCTGGGCCTGGGGATTTCAACTCAATTTGAGTGGATAGGTGTTATCTTTATATGTGTAAACATTTTGGGGAGAATGTGTGTAGGGAGAATTTTCAATTCCGAAGATTTTGAAATAATACAGTATGACGTCTTCACATAAGTATTGCTTTAAAGTGGCTCTGAATTTAACTACGTTGAGGTAATGCTTTATCTTCTTTTTCTTATGCAACACTACAATCACCAAGACTGGCCACTTTGACTAGATTGTTATAGGTTTTATGGATTCAGGTCATACAGTTCCTTGACACGGCTTATTGAAAGCAACACAGTTATTGGGAAAAGTTTTCAAATATCACAAGTATGAATAAATGATCAAATTCTTCTGAAATGTAGCATTGCTGGTTAAACCAGGGGTTGGCAACCTTAAACACTCAAAGAGCCACTTGGACCCGTTTCCCAGAGAAAAGAAAACACTGGGAGCCGCAAAATGCACGCGCACAAGGGGGGGAAAACTTGATTAAAGAGTTTAATTAAAAAGAAATAGAGGCTGCTGTGCATGAGTTCTCTCTCCCCCTCTCCCTCCCTCCCTCCCTCCCTCTCCCTCTCTTTTTCTCCCTCTCTCTCTCTCCCTCTCCCTCTCTCTCCCTCCGATCTTCTGCTCACCTGGCAAGCTGGCTTCAAACTGTTCTCCGACAAGCTGACACACATTCTTATTGGGCTGGCTCTCTCCTGCCCTTGGTCTGCCAGTCCTCTTCCCCCACTCAGTGAGTGAGTGAGAGAGAGAGAGAGAGAGATATGCTGCTTTCTGCTGCTTTCTGTTTTCTGCTGCTTCCTGCTGAGACGCAGCAAAGGCAGGAGCCCCACCCAATAAGCTTGTCAGCTTGTCCAAAAACAGCGTGAGACCACTCTCTTTTTTACACATACACACACAAGAGAGAGAGAGAGAGAGAAGGGAAGGGAAGGGAAGTGCAAGTGCCTCTGTCTTTGTCTGTCTCTCTGCAAATGGCGGAGGAGGCTGGGAGCCGTAGGAGAAGGCTCAAAAAGCCACAAGTGGCTCCGGAGCCGCGGGTTGCCGACCCTTGGGTTAAACTATAGAGTACTGCATTTTAAGGTATTGATAGTGGATGAGCCATGTCTTTTACCATAATACCAAATTTATGTTTTAGATTTTGCTTAATACTTCTTATACGTAGTAATACTGAGTGGATTTTTGAAGTTCTTGCTAATATTGAAGCAGGGTGGAGGATGGAAACAGGTTAACAACAGATATGCATAGATAGTCCTTGTTTAGCACTGCCTATTTAGTGATTGCTTACAGTTACAACAGTGATGAAAAAGTAATTACATGAGAAATCCTCGCATTTACAACCTTTACAGGTTTATAAAGCAAAGGAAAGCTGAAGTAAAATTATAAGCCCAGTTGCAGTTTCACTTAGTGACTACACTACTTCGTTTTACTGCTGAATTGCCAGTTCCAATTGTGGTTGCTAAACTAAAATTGTTTATGGGCATAACTTGTAATCTTTCATTAAATTCTAGATGTTATTCCTCTTTATTGTAAATGGGCAAGAAGCTACATCATATATAATATCTTTCAGTGTTTAATTAAAATCCTGAATAGGGCAATTCATAAACTTTTTGATATGCAAGTAACCCTGATTCTTTTTCAGGAGGATCTGGCATACATGTTTATTAGTTCCTGCTGTGAAGCAGTTAAAGCTGTTGACAAATGGATCTTATTCTCATACATCCTCATCTCACACAAATTTTAAGATTAGACAAAGTAATGAGCTAAGTAGTCTAACATCTGGATATATACTCCAGAGTTAAGGTAGAGTACTGACTGAAGTTTTCTGTTGCCATATTCCAAAATAATATTTGTGAAACAGTTTTTTGAAAAATAATATATTTTCTTTACTTCATTATACGCTGCTAAATAATTCTACTTAAAATGATATTTCTTTTTCTTCTTTTTTAATATATATATAGCTGCCAAATTTTAAAGTGTTGAGTCATTCCCCAATGTCTGATGCCTCCATCACCTTTGAATGCAAGCCACAGACCCCTTTTGATGGAAGTCCAGATCAGGAAGATTTGAGTGACTTGGTGACAATCTCTGACTTGGCCAGTGTGAGCCTGGCCCATAAGGACCATCAAAATGTGCTATCTGTGGAGGTACCCAGTGAGATTGTGCAGAATATGATAACCTGCCATAATGGGATGCAGGACGATGGGGGTGGGGGTACTGGGGTAAAAAAGAAACGAAAGAAAAAAGAGCTGGGGCAGCAAGAGATGGGCAATGAGAGAGAAGTAAAACCAAAGAGGAAAAGAGAACCTAAGGAACCAAAAGATCCCCAAAAGCCCAAGGAGCCCAAAAAGCCCAAGGAACCCAAGGAGCCCAAGCAGGAAGGGGCTAAGAAACCCAGGAAGCCTCGGGAGCCTAAAGTCCCAAAGGAGTCCAAAGAGAAGAAGAACATCTTAGAGACTTCCTCCAAAGCCAAGCCCAAGAAATCCAGGTTGGTATGGCTCTGAATGCTTTTTTGTGTCTAATTGCTCATTTAGCTGCTTATCTGGCAGTAGTTTTGTTCTAGTGGACTTTGAGCATGACGAGTCTTTACTGGTATACTGTAGCTGAGTTTATCCTAGAAGAGCATTAGTGCAACATCCTTGAATTAAGCTTGTCAAGGAAATTATCTTGGTGCATTTTTCTGTTCCTTTGGAAGAGTTTCCAAAATTCCAGTGCCTGGGGAAATTCTTCCAGAGGATAATTGAATAGAGAAACTCTTCCACTGTACATACATCTACACATATAAATAAGGAACCTTTTGAAATACAGTAGATAGGAGTGATAATGCAAAGTTACAAGGTTATTTCATGCATTTTCATGTTATATTACTATACTGCTAGAAAATATATTTGCAGTGCGTGTTGCAGGATCTGACTATTAGAAGCATATGGATACTGTTCACAAAATTCATAGATACTACCACAATTAATTGTTATTAATTTGGAATCATATAACTGCCTTTTTGATGTAGCTGTTAAAGCTCCTTTTATGTTTTTCTCTCTGTGAGGGAAATTAAATGGAATTTTAATGGAATTATAGTACCTGTTTTCCATTTCATTTTCTCTGTTGCTCATTGTAGTTAATCACAGTGCTATGGAAATTGCTTGTTGATGATCAGTTGGGAAAAAAAATCTAATCGGCTTTGCCCATGGATGTCCATGGGGGGCAAGGGATATAATCATGTGCGTGGTGATGTTAGCATGCAAATGCCACGGTTTAATTGTACGAGAGCGCAATGCACAAGTACATAAAATACCATATGCATGATGATATATTCCATGATTAGCATCATCATGGATATCTGTGGCTGTACCTTAAACTGTAAGATTGCCCATGCATAGCATGTTCTACTAGAGAGCAGGTCCTAACCTCTGTACATATAAAAGTGATCTAATTCTATTTTGGTTGACTTGGCAGTAATATCTTGTGTTGAATATCACATACAAGGGTTTGAACAGAATAAATAAATAAAATTCTATGTGTGATCAGTAACTGGATTCACTAAAGCTTGCTTTTCTGTGAGATCCTTTTGCATAATGACTTGAAAGTCTAAGTGGGACACGAATATTAGCCTATTTGTCCAACATTATTCCCTTATCAAATTTGGTAAAAATTGAATAAAACAGATTGTTGCCCTACAGTTACTTGATGACAGAAGCAGAGATAAAACCCAGTTTCCCAATGTTGCTGTGAAGCAATTCCTTTTAAAATGTTTCACAAAGTTCCAAAATGATATGAACCTCCTTTATGTTTTTAGTGGTATTAAGCCATGATGGAGAAAAGTTTACACCTTCGTGTTACATTTCTGGATATGTAAACTGGTTGTTTATTTATGAAGGAGTTGCTGATTTTGAGAGAAATTCAGATAACTCATAGTTTTATATTTCAAACCTTTGCTGCTTGGTCTTCCTTTTACTGACTGTAGATATTGGCAGTGCTGATAACTTGTTTCACTTACATTGTTTGTATGATTAAAATTAAAATATGCTTGATTTGACAAGGATTACTAATTTGCGTTATGTAAAATGTTAAGCCTCATAAGCATGTGTACAGGTATTTCTTGTAACAGTATTAGTGGGTATCACTTAAATGAAAAAAATGTTATCTCCTGTTCTGCAGTATCCAGAAGCTGATAATAGTTACTTTTATAGGACAGTTTTTATAGAAATTCAGCAGATTTTATATAAAAGAAAAATCATGAGAGTGGAATTGAAAGAGGTTTGATAGCACACAGCGTAGGTTTAAGTATGAAACTAAAGCATAGCAGCTGTGTAACATTCCTGAATATCAAAGAGTTTTCATGACTCTCATCTTGAAGTACATTCAGCCCAACTCAATTGGAGAAGCCAGCTAGATTAGTTGGGTCAGGAAATATTAGGCTGAACCTATAAGGCTCTACATACATCTCTGTGCTAAACCAATTGATACTGGCATCAATCTGGAGAAATTTAACTGAGCAGCAATTCAAACCAAAGGACAGTATTTTAAAATCTTGGGTAAGGAGCAGAACTGAAAAAAAGTAAACGGTTCTGGAAGAAGCAAAATATTGGAATTTGTTTCGATCTTTATTACAGCATTTTCTTCACGGAGCTCTCCAGATTGCTGTATCAGTGGCCTTTCCTTGCTATGAGGCCCTCTTGTCTTCTTACTAAGATCAGAACAGCACCACGTTATAAATACCATCTGAAGTTTATGGAAAACAAAGAGACTTTGGTTAATCTTGAAGAGGCTGTGTGAAAGAAAGATGCTCAGCCACATATATTTATAATGGTTTCTCTTCTAGCCATATGAAAAGATAATAAGAATGTTAAAAAAATCTTATTGTACTAGGTAATTAAATGCTTGTCAATGAGCCTTAAGATTGCTGCAAACTGTCCTTCTGATGTCTGTGGCCAATTTGCTGGTAACAAACTGATCACTGTTGCTATTTCAGGATTGAGGAAGGATTCATGTCCATTCATTCCTTCACAAAATGTGTTCAAAAGTATATAGTTGAGGATTGTTCCTTCCAAAATGTCAGAGTAAAGTATATGCAAATAGAGCCATTGCTGCAAACTCTATAACCATCTGGTAATTGTGGCATAATCTCCTCTAAATCATTTCTAATCATAGTGAGCTTCAACATCTATGAATGGAATGGTTGCTAATTGTAACTACAGCACCAATGTCTGGGGACTTATTTCAAAATTGAAAGCACCAGCAGCACTGCACTTCCACAGCTTCTAATGCAATTAGAAGGATGTCATCAGTTCACACCTGCCCTAGAAAGTTACATTATGAAAGTTATTCTTTACATATTTGCAACAAATAGCAATGTTCTATAAAATTGCAGCATAAAGATCTGATGTGAAAATTATATCAAAACAGATAAATTGCCTTTTATGAAACAAGTTGCAAAACTTTACCTCAGATTAAAATGCAGGATATTAAAGATCAATTTTCTGCAATACTTGTGAGTTTTTTTATTGTTGATTTCTTCATCATTTGGTGCTAACTCTTCTGTTTCATGTTTGATATAAATGCTGGTATCAGATAACTGAAACCAAACAAATGTAAATCTGCCTACTATCTAACTGTGCTTTGCAGATATTGATGCACTAGCACAGGGGTGTCAAACTGCCGGCCCGCAGGCCGGACACGTCATCCAGAAGCTGCGCCCACCCCATTGCCGGCAATGACAAAACCGTCCCGATACGTTGTGCGATGTCACGTGATGTCACGAGTTTGACATGTTTGCACTAGCCCAATCATAGTTAAGCAAAGGATATTAGATTCTTATTTTCTTCCATTTGATATGAAAGTGGACTATGTTTTGAGTGATGTTGAAAACTAGATATTCAAAACTAGACATTCATCTGAGAAGCACTGTAGAAAACTGAACTGACATGATTATGTACTCAGGTTGTATGTACAGAAGATCCCTTTTCTTTAATACATGTTTTATGAATGAAATACTGCAAGTACAGAAGTTTATGTACTTGCAGTTGATCTCTGATCAGGAGGAGATGAAAGTTTCACCAGTTGAAGATAACATTAAGCTTGGAAGAGAAATTGATTTGACTAACATGAAGACTGAGTATAAAGAAGGGAATATTGTCACTTACAAGACAGTTACTGGAAAACTGATTGTTCAAACCATAGAGGATGAAAGGATGAAATGCCTAATGGTTGAGGCACTTGGTATAGATTCACATTGAACACTGTGAATGTTCTCTGGAACGAAAAATAGTCTTGGATGGTGACATAAAATATTGAAGATACTTTTTCAAAAAGCAACTGGATTTTGTTTTTTTTGCTTGAAAAACTAAAGGAGCTTCTTGGATAAGAAGCGAAACATCTTCAAGCAAGAAACAAAAAAACAAAAAACAAAATCCAGTTGCCTTTTGAAAAAGCACCTTTGGGACAACCATGACTGAAAATCTTCATATATAAAATATTGAAGCTTTTTACAATTAGAGAGGATTCCTTGCATTTCCGTTTTCTGAAGATTTCAATTACACATTATGCTTCCAATCTGTAAATTGATTGCATATATTTAGAGCTTATTTGTAAATGTGTAAATATATACCTCAGAGAATCAGTATTGTCTCAGACTTCTCACAGCAGCTAATACGGAGCTGCTACTGTATATGAAGCCACTACAAGGCATTCCTTTTTAACTTGCTAAATCCACATCCATGTAAATTCTAACCAAACCAGCCAATTTTCATACCACTGATGAGTTTTTAGGTTCCACAGCCCTGGGCCTGACATTCTGAGAAAAACAACAAGGGGTTCATTCAGTGTGGCTACAAAATAGTAGACTGTTGGCAGCAGTTTGTGAGTAACCTCTTCCCAGACCATCATCCATTGTATTCAGAGTGTGTGAAAACTAATATTCCCAGTTTTTTCCAAAGAACATCAAATATGACAACAAAGAAATAGAGCAACAATGATAAAAAAATAACAATTTACAGGTGATATGCTATGGGTATGGAGTATTCAGATCATTTCAATTTGATTTAGCTACCTTTTTACAATATGCACAACTGCTAGACATATTTCTCAAAAACAAAATAGAAAAATGCTCCATAGTTAAACGCCTCCCCCCAATTAGAATTTTTATACATCTTGAGGGAAATATTATAACTAACTTTTACTTCCATTTATGACAATGGATAATGGAATCTCACTGTTAACATCAGATAATTTGTAATCCAATTAGCATAGCTCTTGTTCAATCCTAATTCTCTTTGAAGAATTCCCAAGTGAGTTAAATCACTTGTCTATTATATTCATAATTTCCCAGTCATCTTTTCCCAAACCCTGTTTGTTTGTTTAAATTATCCCATTTTCTATTGCACAGTTAACTTTACAGCATGTGTTCTTTACTGAGTAGTTTACTTCTGCATGGAATTTAAGGAAATTTATGATTTTGGTCATGGCTAGTTTTTCTGTCCCGATGTTTTTCCCCCCAAATAGTTGGGTAAAAACTAAAAGTATCTTCCCTAACACCAGTTCAGAAGAAAATGTTTATTTTCACCTCTGGTTATTTGTTGAGTTTAGTTATTTTCTATTCATACTTACTTGCTATATTTGTATTCTGCATTTCATTCAGAAACTCAAGGAGGAGCTAGTATGGAGTATGGGTCTTAATCAGATAATTATATGAGGATGTAGGCAAAGATTCCTCTAGAAATGGTCATATATGAAAGTAAAATGGTATGATACTATATATGTGAAATATCCATGAATTTGGTTTATGCATTAGCTAGGATTTTTTAAATGGTTTGCTTAATAAGCCATAGTGATTTAGTTACACATATTGCAGCTAGGCCATAATGGATAGGCTTCTACTTGATGCTAAGCTAAAGAACAAACAACTATATTATGGCTTAATATTATGTGTGAAGTAGGCCTTTGCTTAAATAGCATGATCTAGTTATCAGTTGAAAAAACATCAGTTGAGAAGTAACATTATGGCATATATCTTTTAGAGTATTCAAAACATTTTTATTTAGAATTGAAACTGCACAAAATGGTTTACTTAACCTCAAGTAGCTTTTTGTTGGGTGCTTGGTATTCTCTGAGCTTGGTTGTTTATTTGAAGATGTTTCATTACCCAACTAGGTAGCATCATCAGTGCTAGAAAGGGGTGACATTTGCTTTTTGTTAGGATTATAGGAAGTTAAATAAAATATTGACTAGAGTTCATTTTGGGTAAAAGATGAATTTAGCTATGACATTACAGGTAGTCCTCGAGTTACGAATGTAATGGACCCTGCCAATTACATTCGTAACCCGAGAATTCATAGGTGTGAATGGTGTAACTTGAATGCGATCACTCCCTGCTTTCGCCCATGCATTCACTAATCAAATGTGCGGGTCATTAAGTGCACACAAGGTGTCTCAGGATGAGGAAGGCAATGGGGGGCCTAGTGCAGGCATGAGACCACTGTGTTCAGCCACCAAAGGCTTCCCCCCCACCCACTGAGAGACCCCCTGCTCCTCTTTCCACCCCTTGGGGTCCAAAGCTGCTTGGGCCTTTCCTCTCTACCCCGTCACCAACTGCTGATTTACCTTTGGCACCACATTTGAGAGCCACGCATTTCCCATGCTTGCCTGTGCGGCCTTGAGTGCTGGAGCCCTTGTCAGACCTTCCAACCTCGCAAATCAGAAGAAGAAGAAAAATCCCAATTATATTTTACATGATTACGTTAATAATATGGTAGTCATGGCCATTAGTTTTAGTTTACCTGGTTACTTATAAGTGAAAATTTTCCAATTAAATGGAAGAAGGGGACAATGTAAGTAAAGAAACTTGCGTACAAATGCAATATTTTAAGAGGGCCTGTATTTTGCTTAGATTAAAAACCAATTTCTGTAGACTGATCAGTTTTGGTTGTGAACTTGTACATGTCATATTTTTATATGTGTTCTGTTTGCAGAGGCTCAGAAATAATAGTTGTGTGAAATAATTTCCTCAAAAAGAATATTGGCTGGAAATCAATGTGAGCAACCCAAAGTGCTTCTAAGTACTTTTTTTCAGACTAAAATTGCCTTTATTTGAATATGTATTGCTCAGGGTTGGAGAGAACAATCCCTCTGCCTTTAAAATGGTGTTTGGGTAAGCCAGGGGTGTCAAAATGCTGAACCCGCGGACTGGATGCATCATAACAGAACTGTGCTCACCCCATTGCCAGCAATGGCAAAAAAAGTCGCGATATGTCACACACTGGTGTAAGCGGAAAAGAGTGCAATAGAAAAAGAACCCTCACAAAGACATTGCTTCTCCATAGTATTTGAATTTAGCTATTGACTGCAAAAGGCATGATACTTTCTGAAAAACCAGAACAAAAAGATTGTCATGGTAGTTTTTGGGTAAATGACAGATACTGAGTTCAATGATACTTGCTGTGATACTATAATGCTATTCATTTGTACCTGCAGTATGGAGCAAGGACCAACTCCTGTTGAAAAGAAGAAGAAAGGAAAAAGGAAAAATGACACGTCACTTGATAATTTAGAATTGGATCAAGGCCTGCTTTCATTGTCTGGACAAAACCTTGATGAATCTGTTGAATCAGTTGACAGTCAGGTATACTTGAATCTTGAATCTTTATGGACATGAAACAATCTAGTGTTGCTACAGTTTTCTCATGAGTACAACCAGTTTATGTTTCGCTAGTTCCTATTATTCTTTGGTTCTGCTTGTTAGGGTCCCACAAAGATGCGCCTGTATATTAGCTTGTTCACAGAACTGAAAGTATGGAAAGTCATCAAATTGTAGTCATTCAAATAAGGACTAGATTCTTTCTAGACACAGTTTAGTGCAGTAGTTAAAGTATCAGGCTAGACATGGGGAGACTGAGAGTTCTGCTACACCTTAGGCACAAAGCTAGCTGACCTTGGGCCAGTCACTCACTCTCAGTCCTAGGAAGAAGGCAACGATGCCAAGAAAACTGCAAAGACTTGTCCAGGCACTCAGCAGGAGTAAAAAACTGACTTAAATCAGATTGTGTGTGGGCTCTCTCTCTCTCTCTCTCTCTCTCTCTCTCTCTCCCTCCCTCCCTCCCTCCCTCCCTCCCTCCCTCCTATAAATAATTGATATACTTATGCAGAATGGTTTTGCTAACCTAGAAATGAAAAACTGCATACTTTTAAAAATTATAATAGCTCACTGTTCACAATGTGAATAATCTAAGTATCATAGGGATAAACTCCTGTTCTTAGTGTTTCATCCTACTGGGAGGATGAAGTTTTCAGATAATTTCCCTTTTCATCTAGGAAAGGAAAAAGCTAGAAGTTTGTGACTTATACATACATACATACATACATACATACATACATACATACATACATACATATATACATGCCCATTATTCTATAACCTGTTGGAATATACAATGTTACATAGGGTACAAGAAAAAGGTAAGAAATTTTAAGCCAAAGAATTAAAGCTGTAAAAAAGGGAGAACTAATTTATACCACACACTGTCTATGGAAATTCTCAGTCATCCAGATCATGGTTGTCCCAAAGGTGCTTTTTCAAGAGGCAACTGAATTTTGTTTTTCTTTGAAGATGTTTTGCTTCTCCTCCAAGAAGCTTCTTCAACTCTGACTAGATGAAGGGGGATGGAAGGATTTGTCTCTATGTCAAAATTGAACAGCCTTCTCTCAATAGAGAGGGAGGGATATGACATCGTCTATCCCCAGTCTATAACAGAATCCTTTCAGCAGTTCCAAGAAGACTCCACACACATTTGCGCCACTCCGGTGACCGTGAGGACACAGACAAACCCCCAAGTGGCCTCAATGACTCTAAAAGAATGCAAATGATCAGCTGTCTACAAGGAATATAATCCTTCCATTCCCTACCATTCAGTCAGAACTGAAGACTTTTCTTGGATGAGAAGTGAAACATCTTCAAAGAAAAACAAGAAAGTCCAGTTGCTGCTTGAAAAAGCGCCTTTAGGATATACCACACACTATATATCCCTGCATTTTTCCAACTTTTCAGACCATTCTCGCTTCCATCATATCCCTACACTAATTTACACATTAGCAATAGCAATAGTACTTAGACTTATGTACTGCTTCACAGTGCTTTAGAGCCCTCTCTAAGTGATTTACAGAGTCAGCATATTGCCCCCAACAATCTGTGTTCTCATTTTACCAACTTCAGAAAATGGAAGGCTGAGTCAATCTTGAGCCAGTGAGAATTGAACTACTGTCAGTCCGCCAAATCAGCCTGTAATATTGCATTCTAACCACTGCACCACCACGGCTCTAATTGCCTTTAGTTGCCTGAAATTTTTACCACAGGTTGGTGAGGATCTCATCAACATAATTCAACCATAACTTTCTTGGCATGTTCTCTTTCCTCTCTAGCTGTTAAATCTTCCACCCTATATTTGTTTTGCAATTCTGTCTTCATTCCTTCTCTATATGGTGTTACGTGTAACTTTCCATATTTTCCCTCTTAAGCAGAACTATGACTTGAACTACAAGATGAGCGGCATATAAATTTTAATAAATAATAATANCTCCCTCCCTCCCTCCCTCCCTCCCTCCCTCATATAAATAATTGATATACTTATGCAGAATAGTTTTGCTAACCTAGAAATGAAAAACTGCATACTTTTAAAAATTATAATAACTCACTGCTCACAATATGAATAATCTAAGTATCATAGGGATAAACCCCTGTTCTTAATGTTTCATCCTACTGGGAGGATGAAGTTTTCAGATAATTTCCCTTTTCATCCAGGAAAGGAAAGAGCTAGAAGTTTGTGACTTATACATACATACATATATACATGCCCATTATTCTATAACCTGTTGGAATATACAATGTTAAATAGGGTACAAAAAAAAGGTAAGAAATTTTAAGCCAAAGAATTAAAGCTGTAAAAAAGGGAGAACTAATTTATACCACACTGTCTATGGAAATTCTCAGTCATCCAGGTCATGGTTGTCCCAAAGATGCTTTTTCAAGAGGCAACTGAATTTTGTTTTTCTTTGAAGATGTTTTGCTTCTCATCCAAGAAGCTTCTTCAATTCTGACTAGATGAAGGGGGATGGAAGGATTTGTCTCTATGTCAAAATTGAACAGCCTTCTCTCAATAGATGGGGAGGGATATGACATCGTCTATCCCCAGTCTATAACAGAGTCCTTTCAGCAGTTCCAAGAAGGCTCCACACACATTTGCGCCACTCAGGTGACCGTGAGGACACAGACAAACCCCCAAGTGGCCTCAATGACTCTAAAAGAATGCAAATGATCAGCTGTCTACAAGGAATATAAATCCTTCCATTTCCCACCATTCAGTCAGAACTGAAGACTCTTCTTGGATGAGAAGCGAAACATCTTCAAAGAAAAACAAGAAAGTCCAGTTGCTGCTTGAAAAAGCACCTTTAGGATATATCACACACTATATATCCCTGCATTTTTCCAACTTTTCAGACCATTCTCGCTTCCATCACATTCCTACACTAATTTACACATTAGCAATAGCAATAGTGCTTAGACTTATGTACTGCTTCACAGTGCTTTAGAGCCCTCTCTAAGTGATTTACAGAGTCAGCATATTGCCCCCAACAATCTGTGTTCTCATTTTACCAACTTCAGAAAATGGAAGGCTGAGTCAATCTTGAGCCAGTGAGAATTGAACTACTGTCAGTCGGCCAAATCAGCCTGTAATACTGCATTCTAACCACTGCACCACCACAGCTCTAATTGCCTTTAGTTGCCTGAAATTTTTACCACAGGTTGGTGAGGATCTCATCAATTATTAAGTTGGTATTGAAAGAACCGTACAAGAGAAAGGAGAGATCGACAATTTAGAAGGTGGGATATAAACAAAACGTTAAGACAGAAGTAAGGAAGAGATATACCACAATGCACATTGAAAGGTATAAAAGGGAGAATTCGTCTTGATACTGAACTTGATGTTCTACTCGCCGTATATTTAAAATTATTTATTATTATACTATCTTAATTCTTGATAAATAATTTTCAGCTTGTTGCATTATTCAGCTTTGCAGCACATCATTCAGTTGAATGTGTGCACATTTTCATGTTTCCAATCAACAGATCTCTGTTGCCACAAGCATTCCATAAATTCACAAAACAATCACTTTTCATAAAAGTGTGTTCACCATATGCTCACTGTATTATCCTGACTTGCAGTCATGTGAATGGGCCTTTACAGATCAAGCATAACAAAGACATCCCTTCACATTGCTTTAGTTCACCTATCACTTTAAGATACATTGAAGTTGCTTTGGCTTAGCATCACATATAAACCTAGCCCAAAGTAGTTAATAATTTTAATATTTTATTTGACTTAGGCCATTGACTCAGATGCAGAGCATTTCAGTTCACATATTCATTTGTGATTTCTCAAGGGTTGAATCATGAAGTAAACAGACAAGGGAGAACTATTGGATTCACTGGTATTGATCAGAAAGAGCTGAAGTTAGGTAGGAGAGGCATTCCATGGGGAATTTTTTGAAACTGCTATATTAAAAGATCAGTTGATGTAAAGAGAACCATCTGAAAGTGATTTCTGAATTGAGCAGTGTGTTTACTTAAAGAATATATGCAGTATGCAGGAGCAGTGAGTGGCTCAAATATGACTCCAGGAAAGACAGAAAGTGCCAAAAACAAACTTCTCTTTCAGAATTTAGATAAATTGGCAAGCAGTTTTTAGGATTGGCACTTTTCTACCTTTCTTTGCTATCCAGAACTGCCTAGGGCAGGGGTAGGCAACCCAAAACACTCAAAGAGCCACTTGGACCCGTTTCCCACCGAAAACAAAACACTGGGAGCCGCAAAACCCTTTTGATATCTAAAATGAAGATAACACTGCATATATCCTTTTTTACCTTTATTATTCATTTTAGATGTCAAAAGGGTCTCTCTCTCTGTCTCTCCCTCCCTCCCTCTCTCTCTTTCTGCCCTTGGTCTGCCAGTCCTCTTCCCCCCCTCTCTCCCCCCCTCTCTCCCTCTCTCCGATCTTCTGCTCACCTGACAAGCTGGCTTCTAGCTGTTCTCCAACAAGCTCAGGGGTAGGCAACCTCGGCTCTTTTATGACTCATGGACTTCAACTCCCAGAATTCCTGAGTCAGCATAGCTGGGCTAGCTAGCTCTCTCCTGTCCTTCCTGCTTCCTGCAGAGACGCAGCAAAGGGAGGAGCCCCACCCCCAAAGTTTTTCATCTTGTCGGAGAACACCGTCGTGAGTCCACTCTTTTACAGAGAGAGAGAGAGAGAGAGAGAGAGAGAGAGACAGACAGACAGACAGACAGACAGACAGACAGACAGACAGACAGACAGACAGACAGACAGACAGACAGACAGACAGAATCAAGGAAGCGCAAGTGCCTCTCTCTGTCTCTCTCTGCAAATGGTAGAGGAGGCTGGGAGCCACAGGGGAAGGCTCAAAGAGCCGCATGCGGCTCCGGAGCCACAGGTTGCCGACCTGTGGCCTAGGGGGTTGGCGAAGTATTCTAGGAGCAGGTGATGATGGAATAGAAATGTAATTTATTATGAAAAAGAAAAGATCTAACAAAGTAGGAAGAGAGAAACACACACAGTGATTTTTTTAGTCCTGAAATTTGTATTCATTTCCTGCCTTATGTCTTAACTTGTCTATGGCTTGGCTTATGTTGGTATATTGTTTGGGGCTTTTCAGCATGCATGAAATAGTAGTACATAGCAGGATGGCTTCATTGGTTTGGCATCATATTTATTCTTGGGGTGGGATGTTCAAACTTTTGAAGTGAGAAGCTAAATCATATGTCTGTCTTACAGTATTTTCTTTAGTTCAGGCTCCTGGTGCCCTAATTTTTCACTAGCTGGCAACATATTGGCCAAATCTAAGCAATGTGTGTTTCTTTGTATAACCTGAACAAGTGCTGGATTTCAATTAAGCAGTATTGTATATATCTCTTCTACCATGCTTGAGTCTGTGTTTGCTATGCAGAAGCGCCGTTCTGGACGCCAGGTGAAGCGTAGGAAGTACAATGAAGATTTGGATTTCAAGGTGGTTGATGATGATGGGGAAACAATAGCTGTGCTGGGTGCTGGCCGAGCTTCTGCACTTTCTGCATCTACCTTGGCTTGGCAAGCAGAGGTATGGCTGGGACAACTAGGAAACAAAACTTAATTCCATCTAGAAAATCCATTTGCCTGTGCACTCATGGCACAGTAGACATGCAAATTCATGTTTGCAGCAATTTGAAAAGAATTACATGTATCTTGAGTAAAATCAATGGTATTTAAACTGAATTCTTGTAGGGTGCATTCATTTGTAACAAATTCCCAATTGAGGATATCACATGTGATGTACCAGAAAAATGCAGCATTAACCTTTATGTAATTTTAAATTATCTTAAATAAATGAATCATTTATCTGATTATTTTCTGTCATTTGGAATGTAATAATGTATACATACACAGAAGCAATTCTTATTTAATTTACTACCAAATAAGTATTTCCCAAATGAAATTCTAATCTGATTTTGATTTCTCAGTATTTCTTCCATTTTAGAACATTTCTAAAGTAGTTTTTTTTATGTAATCCCCCATCACAAGACCCATCCCCAGCCTCTCACTGATGACTCACATCTGACCCACTGATAATTCACACCCTCCAACAACCCTGACCGGAAGTAACCTCCCCATCACAAGATCCATCACAAGCTTCTCACTTGACACACCCACACCTGAAGCCCTTATAAATAGAAGAGCACTGACTCAGACATCCCCTAAACGCTGCTGAAGATGTTACCTAGCCTGGTAACAAAATGTTCGGAAACCAACCCACAAGCTCGGAGAACGAACATTCACCCTCATAGTTCTTTATATTTAATTATAAGCAAAGATTGCTAATTGTGATAAGCTATTATAATTAAACAACATAAAGATTTCTTAACGGTCAGTTTGTTGTAGTGGTTAAGGCATCCCACTGGGAACTGGGAGACTTAGGCACAAAGTAAACTGGGTAACTTTGGATCAGTCTTTCTCTTAGGAAGCAGGCAATGGCAAACCATTTCAAAATGTTGCCAATAAAACTGCAGGAACATGTCCAAGCACTCGCCATGACTCAATACTGACTCAATGACCCCCCCAACACCTTATTTATTCATTTATTAGACTTTTATCCTGCCTTTATTACTTTAGGTAACTCGAGGTGAACATATGCACTGTCCTCCTATTTTTCCCACAATAATAATCCTGTGAGGAGGGTTGGGCTGGAAGAGATGCAGAGAAATTGTGCAAGTAACAGAAATACATCTGTAAACTAAATTCAGTTCTTAAGCTGATAGCTTGTTTTCAGTGATTGCCTTTAGTAATCTTCAGGCAGTCTCACCCCCTTTATCTGCCACTTTCTTTTTATATGAGAATATATAATAAGACCATTAAAATACACAAGACTAGAACAGAATTGTACATTGCATATAAGTAGTCAGTATAGTCTACCATTAATGACCGTTACTTCAGCCTCTGTTTAAAGTCAACAATGGTACCAAACAAGGTGACTTACAGTCGATCCTCAAAGATGTGGCCATCACAATATCCTGATGGTGATGTGATTATGATTTGGGCACTTGGCAACCAGCTCACAATTATGATGGTCACAATATCCCGTGGTCACATGACTGAACCTAACAATCATCCATCAAAGTCAGTGGGGAAGCTATCAAGAGGTTACAAATGGCAATCGTGTGATTTCACATGACAAGGAGTATCCAATCTATTAATTCCAGGAGCTGTCTTGAAACATTGAGCTTCCAACTTTTAATGTGCATTGCTTTAAAACACTAAATGCCACGATCACGTCTGGGCAGCTAAACTTCCTTCTTCATGTCTACGGCTCCATAGGAACCTCCTGAGGACGATGCCAACATCATTGAGAAAATTCTTGCCTCCAGGATGGTGCAGAAAGAGGTGAGAGCCTCGTCCTCAGTTCCTTTATGAGCTATTAGTGTATTGGAAGGAAGAATCTCATCAAGTGTGTCACATTGTAAAAATTGGTATTATAAGAAGATGCTGTAAATTATTTACTTTATCATAATTGATTTCCTACAGTAATATGATAATGAATAGTAGGGCTATTATGTTTGGAGCTTAGCTTCTTCAAGCAGTGAATGATACTCTGGAGTTTGGCAGTCCTGTTGGAAGCAGGGGCAAGTCTTCAGTTTGAAGCTCAAGGCCGGGGATATTGTTCTCTATTTGCTTAAAGTGGGTGCTTAAATTCAGAATGCAACTGATGGCAAAATTATGCCTCAAAAGTTGTCTCTCCTCGCCAATTCCAGTATGTAAGTGGATATTCAGATCTGAAACATATTCTCTGCTGCCATGATTTATTCCCTAACATCACTTGCTCATGAAGCAATTATTTATATTTAGGACTGCAAGCTCTGGGATAAAAGAAGGGTGGGGTTTTTTGAAAGAGAAATTCTGTATCAATTGGCTGTATTATATTAGTAAATAGAGTGAAAACCGGATGAAAATAAGTTTGATGTAATAAAGTTGGTGCCTGTGCATGGGTGTGAATGTATCACCAATTTTGATTGAAGTCTGGGTAGAATCAAACAGCACCTGATAAAAGCCATTTGAGAGATCTGCTGTCTTTTCCCACATGCCCACTTAAGTTTGTAACTAATGAAGCCACAATGAAATAGCTTCCACACTTTTCTGTCTTTTATTTTAATCTCTTTTGCTTTATGAAAGGGTCTAGAAGATCAGATGTTTGCCCATTATATAATAATCTTGAATGGGCCAATAATATTATTTCAATATAGATTTAGAGCTTTTTCTCATGGTCAGTTCAGCTTTTTTTGTAACTAAGGTATGTAGTCATCTCACTGCATAGGAAGCATATAGAAAAGAAATTATAGAAACATCTCATATATTGCTTTGCTATTTCTTAATTCCTAAGAGATTTGAATGACATGGCTTAATACCAGTAAGGAATGGGATTATCATTTGCTTTCTCTATTGACATCTGCTTTTCTTGCCAAATGGATTTTAATATTATTCCAATCGTATTTGAACATCATACCATAATCTTATATTTGGCTATACTGGATACTAATGAATGGATATATATATTGTTTTTATTATTTTAAAATGTTTTCAGTATTTTTAATTGTAATATATTTTTTGAATTGTAACTGCCCAGAATCATTGACTGAGATGGGCAGCTATAGAAATTGATTGATTGAATGGATGGATGAATAAATAAATAAATAAATAGAGAAACTGAGAAATAGATAAATAAATAAAAATAGATAAATAAATAATAGATAATGGATGCTAAGCATTAATGGGTATTATATATCTATATAATTAACAAACAAACAAACAAACAAATAATTGTTGTTCCAGATTTATCCTGGAGGAGCAACTTATGAACAGGAAGAGTTCTATGTAAAGTACCGCAATTTGTACGTATAGCATGTGTTTGTCTTATCAATGTGCTACGTACTGTTCTGTTTTGGTTGTCCAAAACATATAAAGTAGCATCTATTTCTTCGTACTAGAAGTTGACTGATTTGTCAAATTTGATTTTGCTCAATTTCATCTTTTTCCAACTTTAAATTCCTTTTAGCTGATTTCTGCAACGCTTTTCCTAATATTTGAATTTTTGTTTTTTTTTTCTTGATTTATATTTTGGGGAAGCATTAGTAATCTAATACATTACATTTTTATGCATACTTCTGACAGAATATGCTTATTTGGTTAAATTTTTCTTAACATTTAACATGATATTAGCTGTAAATTACACTTTTGGAAAGATATATATTCTGTGATGCAATTACATACTTGAAGGAAGTGAGATTTGAACAAGTTTGTATTAAAATGCCAATTATATGCATGTCTTCCTGGTTCCTTCTTAATAATCTACCTGATACTCTTTATTAATTCATAGTTCTTATTTGCACTGTAAATGGGCCACCATGGAGGAGTTAGAAAAAGATCCCCGGATCTCCCAGAAGATTAAACGCTTTCGCAATAAACAGGCCCAAATGAAGCATATTTTCACTGAGGTCAGTAATGAATTTTCCTGGCTGATTTTATGTTCTTTCTCAAAATATTTTTAAAACTCTCTTAACTGGGGCTATTTCTTTTTTGTGATATTATCAGTGTACGCAATTAGCAATGTGTATGCATATAAGCAGCGCCATTGCTGTAAACTAAAGCAAAACTGTGATTAAAGAGCTGTTGCTAAGGAATGCAGTCATGTAACGTTGCACTTTATAACCAAATTACTTGGCTATGGCAATCGTGTTCCTAATTGCCATTGTAACTTGAGGACTAGCTGTATTCACTCTGTTTGGATTTTATAAACTATTTGAGTCTATAGGACTTGGTGGATATAATACAGGTAGCCTTCAACTTACAACAGTTCATTTAGCGACCGTTCGAAGTTACAACAGCAGTGAAAAAAGTGACTTATGACCATTTTTCACATGACCGTTGCAGCATCCTCATGGTCACGAGATCAGAATTCAGACACTTGGCAATTGACTCATATTTATGACGGTTGCAGTGTCCCAGGGTCATGTGATCACCTTTTGCAACTTTCTGAGAAGTAAAATCAGTAGGAAAACCAGATTCACTTAACATCCGTGTTATTAACTCAACAACTGCAATAATTCACTTAACAGCTGGGGCACGAAAAGTCATAAAATGAAGCAAAATTCATTTAACAAATGTTTTACTTAACAACAGAAATTTTGGTCTCAATTGAGGTCGTAAGTCAAGGACTACCTGTAAATTTAAATTAATAGATGTTAATGAAGATGGCCCATATGGATAAAAGTATAAAATCATTGTATCCCTGATAGGGGAGAACAGGAATAGAAAGTTTTGTAGGTTGGCATGTTGCCAGTCAATAGATACCTGAGAATCTTGTTTTTAGAGTGCTCTTTTTCTAACTATCATGTCGTTACATGTGATGCTATTGTGGATATATTATGGAATTGGAATACAGGAGATTGATTTTCTCTTGAGCAGGGATAAATAATAGATGTCCTGTTCATTCAGTATGATAATTTCAAGCTTATCATAATAGAGATTTATATTTCTCACAAAATATTCAGTGAGAATATTAGTTGATTTACGGTTGCTGTTTTTGTTTGGTAATTGCTTCCAACCAGCATCTTGCAAAAGAAATAACTGTTGGCATAAAACTCACTCTTTCCATACAGGTAGCCCTTGGCTTATGTCCATTTATTCAGCAACCATTCAAAGTTATGGTGTCACTGAAAGAATGGACATACTACTGGTTCCCAAAGTTGTAGCAATTGTAGCATCCCATCACGTGTTCACATCCAAGGAGCTTGATTGCTCAGCTCATGGTTATGATGATCCAGGTAGCTGTGACCAAGTGGTTGCCATTTGTGACTTTTCTTCCCAGCTTCCCATAAGCAAAGTCAATGTGGAAGCTGCAACAAAGGTCTCAAATTGCTCTGGTAAGTTGTTCTAGCCCATAGCACCTCCTTGCCTGCTCACAACCTCCACCAGCTCTCCCAGGCCCTCCTTGGCTTCTTCCAAATCACATGCATTGGGCCTCCCTAACCTTCCCTGACCTCCCCCATCTTTCTGTGGCACCCCTGTGTTTCTGACCTGGGACTCCAGGACTGCCAGGATTGCCATTGCCATGCTATCCAGTTACATGATGTAGTGCTTTACAACCACATCACTTAATGACAGCAATCCTGGTCCCAACTGCCATCATAACTCAACCACTACCTGTAGGAAATTGTAGTTTCATTCTCCAAAATAAAGCATTTTTCTAATTGCAGGATATGGGGAACTGTTTGGGAAAAGGTTATAAGTGGAAATAAGTTGCAAACTCTCTGAAGAAAAGAGAGTTCAGAGATCCCAACACAGCTCCAGACTCCAAAGAATGTCCTTTCATGTTATGTAACCATCATCCCACTGCTATTTTTTTTTCTTATATTTAGCTTTTCTTATTTTTGGTGGGAAGTAGTGGAGCATTTGGGAGAATTGAGTTTCTGCTCTGAACCTTTACATCTTTAATCTCGATATAAGTAGAATTCATAGTTTCACAAGTAAGATAAGGAAGTTTGGGTGGAATTGTTTTTCTAATATTTTTTGATGTTCACATATGTATTTTGGTCTTATATTTTAAAGATTGCAACTGAGGAATGTAAGGGAAAATGCCTGACAAAGCTTGTATTTCTACAACTCCAGGGAAGAACCTGCTAAAGAGCTGTTTTGCCTTCAACTCTATTAAAAAATAAAAAAACTTGACGGTAGAAATGGCTTCCTTCTTGCTAGTTCAGGAGGCCCAAACACTTACTTCTGTCAGCCTATATGATTTTCTTGTTTCACCATCTGACATGAATTAATAACTTGAGAAACTGATTTTTTCCCTGGCTAGGCTTAACATGACTTAATGCATGTCTGCTGTTTGGTTCTTATTTTGCCAGCCTGATGAAGACCTATTCAATCCAGACTATGTGGAAGTTGATAGAATCCTAGAAGTGGCTCACACAAAGGACTCCGAAACTGGGGAGGTAGATGTTGTTCTTACCATGATTGTTATTTACAATTCACAATCGCCACTCTCTTGATTTTCATGGCTGACCTCAGTCTGGGAAGCAGAGGGAGCTTCTTAGCAAAACACAGTGATACAATTCCCTCCCCCCATCTGTCTTTTAATTGCCAAGAGTTTTTCAGCTAAGTAATTGTGAACATCCATGCAGTTTGTCCTGCTGACTCATTGGAAATAGTGAGTGCTGGAAATAAGAGATTGAAATGTAATCATTTTGTGAGTCCAGGACAGAGTTTCTGTAGGAAACATTTTTTCTCAAGATCTACGCTTAAGGCTAAAATACAGGCTGGACAAGATAAATGTCTTGAGATGTTTGCAGTCATGTGTGTATCTAAATTGCCTCCTTTTTTTTTTAACCATACTCAAATATAGTCTAGAAAGAGATTTTTCCTCTGAACTGCACAGGTATCATGGAAGGGATATAGTGCCCTGTAGCTTTGGTTTAGAGTTGGTGAGTTCAACACAATATATGGTGTAGGTGTTCTGCTTCATGGAAAAGTGACAGAGTTCAAGCAGAGCCCACTCCAAGCTTGAGGGGTAAATTCCTTACCTGGCTTTAACAAACTCAGATTCTTTTCGTTTCTCATGCCTCAGAGTTGTGGTATACAATGTAGCAACCTTGGATATAGTCCCTGGCAACTTCCAGGCTGCAAGCCCCATCTGACTGAGAATGGAGCATGGTAGTACCAACTTTGTAAATAGGAAAGCTCCAACTCCCCTCAAGTCTATAAAATGCTCACCACGTTTTAAATAGTTGCAGTTGTCAAATTTATTAGGTGTTGACACTATCTTGTCATACATTTTGCATGCAGTAAACCCCAGATTTAGTTATGTTGGGTAGGCATACCACATCTGGACTGCAAAAATCCGGATGACTGTTAGATGGTAGCTTATACATTTGTGTATCTTTTTGTTGCCACTTAGTGACCACTGGCATTTTTGCAACTCAGTTTTGGTAGCTTTAGCATTAGAGAAGCCTCCTGGTATGAAAAGTAAGAGTCAATATAGGCAATGTATAGCAATAAAACAATGTATAGCAATAAAACAACTTGCAATATTCCTGAACCTAAAAAAAATAATAGAATCAACAAAAGTCTATATAATTCCATCTTTTTTTAAAAATCAGAGGGTAGAAGGAGACTTTTTAACAAATACCATAATAATAATAATAGTAGTAGTAGTAGTAGTAGTAGTAGTAGTAGTAGTAGTAGTAGTAGTAGTAGTAGTAGTAGTAAAATTGGAAAGGACCTTGGAGGTCATCTAGTCCAACCCCTTGCTCAGGCAGGAAACCCTATACTATTTTGGACAAATGGCTGTCCAGTCTCTTCTTAAAAACTTCCAGTGTTGGAGCATTCACCGCTTCTGGAGGCAGGTTGTTCCACTGGTTAATTGTTCTAACTGTCAGGAAGTTTCTCCTTAGTTCTAGGTTGCTTCTCTCCTTGATTAGTTTCCACCCATTGCTTCTTGTCCTTCCTTCAGGCGCTTTGGAAAATAGCTTGACTCCCTCTTCTTTGTGGCAGCCCCTGAGATATTGGAACACTGTCCCCCCTCGTCCTTCTCTTCATTAAACTAGACATACCCAATTCCAGCAGCCGTTCCTTATATGATTTAGCCTCCAGTCCCCAAGGATATTTTAATTCTTACAATTTAACTAGGTATAAATGATAAAGCATTATACAGTTTCACTCCATATTTGGAATTATGTGATCATGAACCTTTGTATAGCTATAAGAAAATACTCTTCTACTGGTAACACAAAAGTTAGAAATGAGATATGGAGATAATTTTTACATGGTGAGAAAATTTTTAATTTTGAATGTATTTCTCCTCCTTCCATGTACTTGTGTAACTGTACAGTGTTTATCGTCAGAAAAATTAGAGATAAGTGAGAATATTGATATTAAATAATCCCTCTCTGTGGAACATCCATATATTTCAAAATTCATATTTCTGGTCTCTGCCTTTCATGCCAAATCAATTATTTTATTAAGAAAAAATAACTGGAGATAAAACATAGGTTATTGATTAACAAACGATGACTAAATATTTTATGATTTTACCTTTTTTAAAATGTTCACATTAAAAAGTTGATGTAATTTTCTTCCACTTTTTGTGTAGAAAGATTTATTTATTAAATCATATGCTGCCTATCTCACAATCGAAAGTGACTTTGGAAAGATAGAGGCTTGTTTTATATAAAGGTTTTCCTTTTTTTTGGAAGCATGTGATAGCTGGCTCTAAAGTTGTATCCATGATCACATCAATCATGGTTACACCCCTGCATACATCATGTGTTTCAGACAAAGATCTTGATATTTTTTCCAGATTATGTTTCCTCAAAGAGTTCCATTATTTGTTCTTTGTCACTTTTGTTTTGAGCCCCCCCTGCATCTCCTTTTGTTCCTGGATTGTAGGAGGTGACTCACTACCTGGTGAAGTGGTGCTCCTTACCCTATGAAGAAAGCACTTGGGAGCTTGAGGAGGATGTTGATCCTGGGAAGATTAAAGAATTTGAATTTCTCCAAATTCCACCAGAAGTTAAATCCCTGGTAAAAATAAATTAAGCTTTGATTTTGATGAGGGAAAGAATTGATAGTTATGAGTGAAATAATCATTAATTAAACGATATTGTGGTTCGACATAATTTTATTTGG